TCGCCCCCACCCCCACATCTCCCCCCCCCCCCCCCCCCACCTGTCAGCAGATGACCCGTCCACTCACAGGGCAAACCCTACTATGTGCACCATGCACCCCACGGGGACAGCTGCCACTGGGGGGGCCCCTAGGCAAGTCCACATAGTGAACATCGTCCCCTTAGTGGCAGTCGACTGACGTCCACTCACAGGCCAGGCGCTGAGTAACCATGCACCCCACGGGGACAGCTGCCACTGGGGGGGCCCCTAGGCAAGTCCACATAGTGAACATCGTCCCCTTAGTGGCAGTCGACTGACGTCCACTCACAGGCCAGGCGCTGAGTAACCATGCACCCCACGGGGACAGCTGCCACTGGGGGGGCCCCTAGGCAAGTCCACATAGTGAACATCGTCCCCTTAGTGGCAGTCGACTGACGTCCACTCACAGGCCAGGCGCTGAGTAACCATGCACCCCACGGGGACAGCTGCCACTGGGGGGGCCCCTAGGCAAGTCCACATAGTGAACATCGTCCCCTTAGTGGCAGTCGACTGACGTCCACTCACAGGCCAGGCGCTGAGTAACCATGCACCCCACGGGGACAGCTGCCACTGGGGGGGCCCCTAGGCAAGTCCACATAGTGAACATCGTCCCCTTAGTGGCAGTCGACTGACGTCCACTCACAGGCCAGGCGCTGAGTAACCATGCACCCCACGGGGACAGCTGCCACTGGGGGGGCCCCTAGGCAAGTCCACATAGTGAACATCGTCCCCTTAGTGGCAGTCGACTGACGTCCACTCACAGGCCAGGCGCTGAGTAACCATGCACCCCACGGGGACAGCTGCCACTGGGGGGGCCCCTAGGCAAGTCCACATAGTGAACATCGTCCCCTTAGTGGCAGTCGACTGACGTCCACTCACAGGCCAGGCGCTGAGTAACCATGCACCCCACGGGGACAGCTGCCACTGGGGGGGCCCCTAGGCAAGTCCACATAGTGAACATCGTCCCCTTAGTGGCAGTCGACTGACGTCCACTCACAGGCCAGGCGCTGAGTAACCATGCACCCCACGGGGACAGCTGCCACTGGGGGGGCCCCTAGGCAAGTCCACATAGTGAACATCGTCCCCTTAGTGGCAGTCGACTGACGTCCACTCACAGGCCAGGCGCTGAGTAACCATGCACCCCACGGGGACAGCTGCCACTGGGGGGGCCCCTAGGCAAGTCCACATAGTGAACATCGTCCCCTTAGTGGCAGTCGACTGACGTCCACTCACAGGCCAGGCGCTGAGTAACCATGCACCCCACGGGGACAGCTGCCACTGGGGGGGCCCCTAGGCAAGTCCACATAGTGAACATCGTCCCCTTAGTGGCAGTCGACTGACGTCCACTCACAGGCCAGGCGCTGAGTAACCATGCACCCCACGGGGACAGCTGCCACTGGGGGGGCCCCTAGGCAAGTCCACATAGTGAACATCGTCCCCTTAGTGGCAGTCGACTGACGTCCACTCACAGGCCAGGCGCTGAGTAACCATGCACCCCACGGGGACAGCTGCCACTGGGGGGGCCCCTAGGCAAGTCCACATAGTGAACATCGTCCCCTTAGTGGCAGTCGACTGACGTCCACTCACAGGCCAGGCGCTGAGTAACCATGCACCCCACGGGGACAGCTGCCACTGGGGGGGCCCCTAGGCAAGTCCACATAGTGAACATCGTCCCCTTAGTGGCAGTCGACTGACGTCCACTCACAGGCCAGGCGCTGAGTAACCATGCACCCCACGGGGACAGCTGCCACTGGGGGGGCCCCTAGGCAAGTCCACATAGTGAACATCGTCCCCTTAGTGGCAGTCGACTGACGTCCACTCACAGGCCAGGCGCTGAGTAACCATGCACCCCACGGGGACAGCTGCCACTGGGGGGGCCCCTAGGCAAGTCCACATAGTGAACATCGTCCCCTTAGTGGCAGTCGACTGACGTCCACTCACAGGCCAGGCGCTGAGTAACCATGCACCCCACGGGGACAGCTGCCACTGGGGGGGCCCCTAGGCAAGTCCACATAGTGAACATCGTCCCCTTAGTGGCAGTCGACTGACGTCCACTCACAGGCCAGGCGCTGAGTAACCATGCACCCCACGGGGAAAGCTGCCACTGGGGGGGCCCCTTGGATATCGACTCGCCTTGACGTGCACTGCATGGGAGGCGCCGTGTACACATGAAAGTGATGACGACAACGACGACGATTGTAAAGTTCCCCAGGATGCTCCGAATTAAAAACAAAGGACGATACGAGAGAGGTCAGAGATACAACGACGTGAGCTGAGTGCTTTTGTGGAAAGATGTGTCGGGTAGAGACGTCGTCGTCGTCATCACACGGACTGTGGATAAGCGTGGTACTGCTGCTGCTGATGATGATGATGATAACGAAAACGGCAAAGCCTTCAACGTGTTCACGAATCTCAAAGCAGTGCGAATCGTGAGTACGGCGGCGACGGCGATAAAAACGTAAATATATTCGAACAAAGAGCCCCGTAAGGTACGACAAATTAAACACGCGGACTTTTAATAAAACACGGAGGAGTGAACGCAACTTTTACCAAACATTACGGAGTTCGTCAGGAGTTCAGCGGAGCCAGGGATGGGGGAGCATCAGACTAAAAGAATTAGGAATTTGTGACTATATATATGTAGAGAGAGAGAGATACACACGGCGAGTTCCCGCTGAGCGCGTGGCGGTGTTCACGCCGACAGCGCCGCTCTTCTATTCTGGAACACTTTCGCGGTACGCGCACAGCGTCACAACGCGGAACGCGTCGACCGTTATAACGTGGAACGCGTCGACTGTTATAATGCAGAACGCGTGCACCGTTATAACGCAGAACACATCGACTGTTATAACGCGGAACGCGTCGACCGTTACAACGCAGAACGCGTGCCAATCATAACATAGAAGGTGCGCACCGCTATAACGCGTTTCGGAGCAACCGACGAACTACTTTCTTGTGCCGCGCGGCGCAACCCTCGCCGATTTGTCCCTTTGCCATCTCACTGTGCGTCGTAGCAGCAGCAGTTCGTGGCACATCGTCGCTCGCCACACGTCATCGTCGTTACTGCTATGAGGGGGGGGGGGGATCGTTCTTCGCTCGACGCGACGCATTCCCGTCGCTCCGCGCGTCTACTCCGACGGCGACCGGCGCGTCAAAACTCGCCGTGTACACACGGCTCTCCCAAGATGCGCGTCTTGCTGACCAACTTTCATGCGAGATCGTCCGCTCGGCTTGAGCACGCGGCCACGTCGGTGACAATTCGCGGGTTTTGTTTGTTTTCGCGGTTTCGCCAACAGCGCGGTGGGGTCCGTATACGTCTGTGCCGTGATACCCTCCACCCCCCCCCCACCTTCTAAAACCACGCAGCCGAGTTGAGCCGACGCGACCGCGACAATCGGTGCGCCGGGCGACGATTCAATTTGTACGGCCGAGTGTGTGTGTATACGTGTGTGCGAGTGTGTGTACGTGTGTGAGTGTGTGTGTGCGAGTGTGTGTGTGTACGTGTGTGCGAGTGTGTACGTGTGTGCGAGTGTGTGTGTACGTGTGTGCGAGTGTGTGTGTACGTGTGTGAGAGTGTGTGTGCACGTGTGTGTACGTGTGTGTGCACGTGTACGTGTGTGCGAGTGTGTGTACGTGTGTGTGCACGTGTGAGCGTGTGTGCACATGTGTGTGTACGTGTGCACGTGTGTGCGAGTGTGTATGTGTGTGTGTGTGCGTGCACGTGTGTGCACGCGTTCCTCCTGCCAGCGGGCGTTCGACACTTCACGTGGTAGCCTCAAGGTGCACATGGCCTGGCACAAGTGTCGTGGTGACGTCACCGCCACTTAGTGGCGAATGGTGGCTGTTGTTGTTGTTGTGTGCGAGTGTGTGCTTGTGGCCTGGCCTGGCCCAGTGGTGAGTTCAATTCCCACTCACGGTCACCAACACCGGTGACGATTACCTCAACTGATCCTGGGCCTCCCCTAGGTCGACTCAGCCTCAAATTAGTACCTGGTGTGCTGTGTAAAAAACATCGCCACTGGGGAGACAAAGGCGGTCGTGCGTGGTGTTGGCCACGCACCGCCTCGTGCGCCGTGCCGGCCTTCATAGGTGCTCGCTAATAGCACTTGCCCCAACAGTCTGTTACAGGCTACACGGGGGAACTTTGTCTGTTGTGTTGGGATGGTGGAGGGATTTACAACACAAATTTGAGCCGCATCGTTAGGACGGTAGTCCAACGCGGAAAAAATAAATCCAGAATGCATCATCGGTGCGATGCCGCTGACGTCACCACCGTGATACCGATGACATCACAGGAGAGGGACGCCATGACAGTGACGTCACTTCCTGTGACGTCACCCTTTCGGAATTTGACGCCAAAAAAAAAAACCAGAGAACAGACGTTTGGAACCGTCCGAAAGACGTTTTTCATCTGGGCCGGATATTTACAAAATGTAATTGGTATAAAAATCTAAAATTGTAAACAAACCCCCAAGTACCCACGTTCAGTACGTTTCAGATTGAACTCTCTTTAGAGGACATTGGCTTTCGGTATTTTTGTTTGTTTGTCAGTACGCCCAACTTCGCAATCGACCCCCCCACCCCCGATCGAACCGTTCGCGCCGACGTTAGTCTTGCCCCGTCGTCATCTGTTACGCGCGCGCGAGACTCCTTCCCGCGGGGAACGTGGAGCGGTTGTTGTTGTTTTTTTGTTTTCCATGTAAACATTGTGTGCGGGCAGCGGGGAGGGTGTAAATTATTTCACGGAAATTTCTCACACGGGCACAAAAAACAGGATGTGACGTCGTCACGGCGGCAACAACAAATTAAAATGGCGCGCAGCCACGCGGCGGCACTTTTGGCTTCAATAAAGCGCGACGCGGACGCTCGCAGGAAGTGATGTCATGGATGTGATGTCACTTCCTGTGACGTCACTTTTACCCCATTTTGCCTTTTCTCCCCCCCCCACCCCCTTACCCCCCCCACCCCCTCACCCTCCTCCCAAGTTCATAATTTTGCTGCAGACTATCATGGAACATCATGCAACGTCACTACCATTCGGTGTGTAATTACAATTCTGTGCGAGTCTAAAAGGGCTCTGTGTGTCTCTGTGCGAGTCTATGGGTCTTTGTGTGAGTCTATGGGTCTCTGTGTGAGTCTATGGGTCTCTGTGTGAGTCTATGGGTCTCTGTGCGAGTCTATGGGTCTCCGTGTGAGCCTGTGGGTGTCTGTGTGAGTCTATGGGTCTCCGTGTAAGCCTGTGGGTGTCTGTATGAGTCTATGGGTCTCTGTGTGAGCCTATGGGTGTCTGTGTGAGTCTGTGGGTGTCTGTGTGAGTCTATGGGTCTCTGTGTGAGCCTATGGGTGTCTGTGTGAGTCTATGGGTCTCTGTGTGAGTCTATGGGTCTCTGTGTGAGTCTATGGGTCTCTGTGTGAGTCTATGGGTCTCTTTGTGAGTCTATGGGTGTCTGTATGAGTCTGAGTCTCCGTGTGAGCCTGTGGGTGTCTGTGTGAGTCTATGGGTCTCCGTGTGAGCCTATGGCTCTCAATGCGAGTCGCTGCGCTTCAGAACCCCAGTTTGGTGTGCGGGCAGTGGCTGAGACCCGGATTCGAACCCAGGAATTTCAACGGAGCCGGCTCATCATCTGTCACTGACGGTACAGGGGTACGGCCCGTACCTCCGCGAGAGGGCCGCTCTCCGCAGAGCCCCTCGAGTGTCGCTTGGCCTACTCTTCCTACTCTCGGCCAGACGTACTGGAGGATTAACGAGTACCCACGCTTTACCCCACCATTATAATACAAATCTGCATACCGCATATATATATAAAATCACCTTCAAATCGACGCCATTCCCACCGCATGCATTGCGTTTGCCAGGGTGTTGCCGTCCGGTTAGTGCCGCACCTCCGAACCCGGCGGCCCGAGTTCGATGGCCCGCTAACGGCCACCGAAGCACCGGTGACAAATATCGCGACCGTTCCCCGGCTCGCCACCTAGGTCGACTCACGCTTAAATGAGTACCTGGTGCGGAGACAAAGGTGGGTTTGGGGCGTGGTGCTGGCTGGACACCAGAGGTCGCAACCGGGTACCCGATATCCGTACCCTACCCGATACCCGGCTACCCGTACCCGGCCAGGTACGGGTAGCCGTTTGCGACCCTGGTGCGGCCGGGTACGGGTACGGGTAGACCGTGAGTCACTGGCGAGTCACCGTTTCGTCACTCAATTCGGGTAGAGTACGGGTAGGGTACGGGTAGGGAATGGCTACCTGTACCCGGCCGGGTACGGGTACCCATTTGCGACCCTGGTGCAGCCGGGTAAGGGTACGGGTAAGGAATCAAAACCCGTTTGCGACCTCTGCTGGACACCCACCACCCCTCGTGTGCCGTGCCGGCCTTCATAGGTGCTGCTGCTACTCGCTAACAGAACTTCCCCAACACTCTGTTATAGGCTACACGGGGATCGTCGACTTTGTAGCGGGGAGCGGCCGCGTCTGGCTCAGCGCTACGCCCCGCAACAAACCCGGCCTCCCGAGTTCGATTCCCGCTCATGGGCAATGCCGGTGACGATCATCCGAATCGGTCCTGGGCCTCCCCTAGGTCGGCTCAGACTCAAAATGGAGCGGTGTGCGGTCAAGCCGTACACGTTTCCCCTAAGCGACGTCTGACCACCCCCCTGCATTACAGACGAACGGACGCACACGCTAAGATCGCCCCCCCCCCCCCCCACTCGCCACTCCCCGTGTAGCCTCAACAGACTGTTGGGGCAAGTGCTGTTAGCAGCACGGCACACGAGGGGGTGGGTGGACAGCATCACGCCCGCCCAGCCACCTTTGTCTCCCCATCGGCGGTGTTTAGTACACACACCGCACCGGGGGACTTATTTAAGGCCGAGTCGGCCTAGGGGAGGCCCAGGACCGGTTCAGATTGTTCTCACCGGTGTTGGCCGCGAGTGGGGAATCGGGTTTCTTGGTTTGTAGCGCAAGTGCGCTAACCGCTCCTCCCGGGACGCGCAGACACAGACACACGCCGACGTGCAGATAAAAGATGCAGACACGCACAGACACGCGCAGTAGCGCAGACAGACGCGCAGTCACACAGACACACGCAGTCACAGACACACGCAGTGACAGACACGCAGATACGTGCAGACACACAGACGCGCTGAGTCACAGACACACAGACACACGCAGACACACAGTCACGCTGAGTCACAGACACACGCAGACACAGACACACAGACGCACAGACACACAGACACACGCAGACACACAGACACGCTGAGACACAGACACACGCAGACACAGACACACAGACGTATTGAGTCACAGACACACAGACACGCATAGACACACAGACCACGCAGATACGCGCAGACACGCAGACACGCGCTGAGTCACAGACATACAGACACACAGACACGCATTGAGTCACAGACACACAGACACACACAGACACACAGACACGCATTGAGTCACAGACACACAGACACACACAGACACACAGACACGCATTGAGTCACAGACACACAGACACACACAGACACACAGACACACAGACACGCATTGAGTCACAGACACACAGACACACAGACACACAGACACGCATTGAGTCACAGACACACAGACACACACAGACACACAGACATGCTGAGTCACAGACACACAGCAGAGGGAGAGCGTTGTCTGCGCTCCGTGCTCAGTCCTACGAGAACACGACGAGTGGACAGCTCTGGGCTCCATCGTCACGATCATCATCGGCGTCGTCGTCATCGCCGTCGTCATCACGATCATGATCATGACGATGACGATCGTCATAACGATCATCATCGGCGTCGTCGTCATCGCCGTCGTCATCACGATCATGATCATGACGATGACAATCGTCATCACGATCATCATCGTCATCATCATCGCCGTCGTCATCATCGCGATCACGATCACGACGATGACAATCGTCATCACCATCGTCATCACCATCGTCATCACCATCGTCATCACCATCGTCATCACCATCGTCATCACCATCGTCATCACCATCGTCATCACCATCGTCATCACCATCGTCATCACCATCGTCAGCAGCAGTAGCGTCTCGACTGCGCTTGAGGCCGACCTCCAAGACGAACCCCACTGGGCGAGGGATTCTGCGCAACGCACACCACACACAAAAGACAAAGATCCCCCGCGTAGCCTTAACAGCCTGTTGGGGGCAAGGGCCGTCGGCAAGTAGCGGCGCCTACGGAGGCCGGCACGGTGGCACACGAGGGCAAGGGGGGGGGGGTTCAGCACCGCTCCCCGGCACCGTTTCGTCTCGGCAGTGGCGGCGTTTGCACACTCAAGGACCCAGGACCCGGCTTCGGATCACACTGGTCAACAAAATAAAACAATTTTTTTCTGGCCTGGACTTTTGTGCAGCTGTTCTAGACTAATGTCAGGGTTTCATCTTCTTGGTTCTTTTGGTAAAGTCACGTAGAAGGGAAGTAATAAAATAATAAAAAGAAAACATAATAAAATAATTCTCACGACGTTTCGGCTGCTTGCGTTGTGGCCGAAACGTCGTGAGAATTATTTTATTATGTTTTATTATGTAGATATCCACATTCATTTAATATTTTTCTTCTGCAGTTTTTATTGAAAATGCAATATTTGATATCTCAAAAACCTGATGTGATAGACAAAAACTGATGCCAGATTTGGAATCGGCACCCCAAAGTAACCGTTGGAATACCTTGTGCCAGAAAAAGTGTGTTGACCAGTGTATAATCCGTCCCCGGCGTTGACCGTGGCCGGGAATCGAACTCTGGTTCGTAGCGCGTCGCGAATGCACGCTCTACCTGTTCCCTCGCCCTACGTAGCCAACCGGGCTAATCGGGAGGTAAGCGGGGAGACAAAGGCGGCCGGGCGTGGTGCTGGCCACCCACCCCCTCGTGTGCCACCGTGCCGGACTTTCATAGGTGCTGCTCGCTAACAGCACTTGCCCCTACAGTCTGTAAAGGTTATAGGGGGGATCTTTATTATTGTATTTGTGTGGCGTGTGTGTGGCGTGTGTGTGGCGTGTGTGTGGCGTGTGTGTGGCGTGTGTGTGGCGTGTGTGTGGCGTGTGTGTGGTGAGTGTGTGGCGTGTGTGTGGTGCGTGTGTGGCGCGTGTGTGGTGTGGTGTGTGTGGTGTGTGTGGTGTGTGTGTGGCGTGTGTGTGGCATGTGTGTGTGTGGTGTGTGTGGCGAGTGTGTGGCGTGTGTGTGGCGTGTGTGTGGCGTGTGTGTGGTGAGTGTGTGGCGTGTGTGTGGTGCGTGTGTGGCGCGTGTGTGGTGTGGTGTGTGTGGTGTGTGTGGCGTGTGTGTGGCGTGTGTGTGGCATGTGTGTGTGTGGTGTGTGTGGCGAGTGTGTGGCGTGTGTGTGGCGTGTGTGTGGTGTGTGTGGCGAGTGTGTGGCGTGTGTGTGGCGTGTGTGTGGCGTGTGTGTGGCGAGTGTGTGGCGTGTGTGTGGCGTGTGTGTGGCGTGTGTGTGGTGCGTGTGTGGCGTGTGTGTGGTGCGTGTGTGGCGTGTGTGTGTGGCGTGTGTGTGGCGTATGTGTGGTGCGTGTGTGGCGTGTGTGTGGCGAGTGTGTGGCGTGTGTGTGGCGTGTGTGTGGCGTGTGTGTGGCGTGTGTGTGGTGAGTGTGTGGCGTGTGTGTGGCGTGTGTGTGGTGCGTGTGTGGCGTGTGTGTGTGGCGTGTGTGTGGTGTGTGTGGCGTGTGTGTGGCGTGTGTGTGGCGTGTGTGTGGCGTGTGTGTGGGCGATACCAGCACCTGTGTGAGCCGTGCCTCCGAACCGACGGACGACCTCGCCGTCTCCCTAGTCCTGCTCCACATCCATGATGGGTTTGCGGGCGTCTGCCGGGTGGACATGGGGAAAGGGGCGACCACCCTCGCAGATTAGCACGGTGACGACGATGATTATGACGGTGACGATGATGATGATTATGACGATGACGACGACGACGACGACGATGATGACAATGATTATGATGATGATTATGATGATGATTATGACAATGATGATGACGATGATTATGACGACGACGATGACGATGGTGATGGTGATGATGATGACGCTGATAATGACGATGACGACGACGATGACAATTACAACGTTGACGACAACGACAATGAGGATGATTATGACGCTGACAACAATGACGATGACGATGATTATGACGACGATGATGATAATGACGTTGATTATGACGATGACAATGATTATGACGACGGTGACGACGATAGTGACGATGTTGACGATGTTGACGTTGATTATGACGACGATTGATGATGAGTGACAATGATGATGACATTGATTATGACGATGACGACGATGATGACGATGTTGACGATGACAATGACGATGACAATTACAACGTTGACGACAACGACAATGAGGATGATTATGACGCTGACAACAATGACGATGACGATGATTATGACGACGATGATGATAATGACGTTGATTATGACGATGACAATGATTATGACGACGGTGACGACGATAGTGACGATGTTGACGATGTTGACGTTGATTATGACGACGATTGATGATGAGTGACAATGATGATGACATTGATTATGACGATGACGACGATGATGACGATGTTGACGATGACAATGACGATGACAATTACAACGTTGACGACAACGACAATGAGGATGATTATGACGCTGACAACAATGACGATGACGATGATTATGATGACGACGACGATGATGATAATGACGTTGATTATGACGATGACAATGATTATGACGACGGTGACGACGATAGTGACGATGATGACGTTGTTGACGATGATGACGTTGTTGACGTTGATGATGACGATGTTGACGGTGACAATGATGACGACGACGATGATGACGATGATGACGGTGATGATGATGACGACGACGATGATGATAATGACGTTGATTATGACGATGACAATGATTATGACGACGGTGACGACGATAGTGACGATGATGACGTTGTTGACGATGATGACGTTGTTGACGTTGATGATGACGATGTTGACGGTGACAATGATGACGTCGACGATGATGACGATGATGACGGTGATGATGATGACGACGACGATGATGATTATGACGATGACGATGGTGATGGTGATGATGACGACAAAGACGACGACGACGATGATGACAATGACGTTGATTATGATGAAGGTGACGACGATGATGACGGTGACGATGATGATGATCATGACAACGACGATGACGACGACGATGACGACGATGACGACGACGATGACGACAATGACGTTGATTATGACGACGGTGACGACGATGATGATGGTGACGATGATGATGATCATGACAACGACGATGACGACGACGACGACGACGACGCCGTTGATCTCACCCGAGTGCGCTCGCTCACCCCAGGCCTGCTGCTCCCCGCCGCTCATCAGGAGGTGAGACTGCGGCTCGTAGGGGCGCCCCGCGTGCTCGGGATGTCCGTTCCCACTGCGACGCGCACACACGGAGATACGGCGAGTGTGTGTGAGTGTGTGAGTGTGTGAGTGTGTGTGTCTGTGTGTGTGTCTGTGTGTGTGAGTGTGTGTGTGAGTGTGTGTGAGTGTGTGTGAGTGTGTGTGTGAGTGTGTGTGAGTGTGTGAGTGAGTGTGTGTATGAGTGTGTGTCGGTGTGTGTGAGTGTGTGTGAGTGTGTGTGAGTGTGTGTGAGTGTGTGTGTCTGTGTGTGTGTCTGTGTGTGTGAGTGTGTGTGTGAGTGTGTGTGTGAGTGTGTGTGAGTGTGTGTGAGTGTGTGTGAGTGTGTGTGAGTGTGTGTGAGTGTGTGTGAGTGTGTGTGAGTGTGTGTGTCTGTGTGTGTGTCTGTGTGTGTGAGTGTGTGTGTGAGTGTGTGTGTGAGTGTGTGTGAGTGTGTGAGTGTGTGAGTGTGTGTGTCTGTGTGTGTGTCTGTGTGTGTGAGTGTGTGTGTGAGTGTGTGTTGGTGTGTGAGTGTGTGTGAGTGAGTGTTGGTGTGTGAGTGTGTGTGAGTGTGTGAGTGTGTGTGTCTGTGTGTGTGTCTGTGTGTGTGAGTGTGTGTGTGAGTGTGTGTGAGTGTGTGTGAGTGTGTGTGAGTGTGTGTGAGTGAGTGTTGGTGTGTGAGTGTGTGTGAGTGAGTGTTGGTGTGTGAGTGTGTGTGAGTGTGTGAGTGTGTGAGTGTGTGTGTCTGTGTGTGTGTCTGTGTGTGTGAGTGTGTGTGTGAGTGTGTGTGAGTGTGTGTGAGTGTGTGTGTGAGTGTGTGTGAGTGTGTGAGTGAGTGTGTGTATGAGTGTGTGTTGGTGTGTGAGTGTGTGTGAGTGAGTGTTGGTGTGTGAGTGTGTGTGAGTGAGTGTTGGTGTGTGAGTGTGTGTGAGTGAGTGTGTGTTGGTGTGTGAGTGTGTGTGAGTGTGTGTTGGTGTGTGAGTGTGAGTGTGTGTTGGTGTGTGAGTGTGTGTGAGTGAGTGTGTGTTGGTGTGTGTGTCTGTGTGTGTGTGAGTGTGTGAGACCTCAGGGCAGGGCTGGTGGTGGAGCCGCCCGTCTCGACGTCAGCAGCAGCAGCGACGAGGCACGTGGGGAACGAGCAGCCGTCTCCCAGACTAGGCAGACAACAACAACAACATCAACAACAACATCAACAACAACAACAACAACAACATCAACAACAACATCAACAACAACATCAATAACACCAACAACAACAACATCAACAACAACATCAACAACATCAACAACAATAAACATCAACAATGACAACATAAACAATAACAACAACAACATCACCAACAACAACAACGACAACAACCTCATCAACAACATCAACAACATGAACAACAACATCACCAACAACATCAACAACAACATCAACAACAACATCAACAACATCGTCGTCGTCATCGTCGTCAACACCGTCCTGCTCGGCACAAGCAGGATCCAGAACCTGCCCTGGTCCCCAAACACCTGCACTCATGTGTGAGTGTGAGTGGGTGTCAGCGAGTGAGTGTGAGCGAGCGAGTGAGTGTGAGTGAGCGAGTGAGTGAGAGAGCGAGTGAGTGTAAGTGTATGAGTGAGCGAGTGAGCGAGCGAGTGAGCGAGAGCGAGTGAGCGAGTGTGAGTGAGCGAGCGTGTGTGAGTGAGTGAGTGAGGGTGTGAGTGTGAGTGAGAGTGAGTGGTAGTGATTGTGAGTGTGAGTGAGTGAGTGAGTGTGAGCGAGTGAGTGAGAGAGCGAGTGAGTGTAAGTGTATGAGTGAGCGAGTGAGCGAGCGAGTGAGTGAGCGAGAGCGAGTGAGCGAGCGTGAGTGAGCGAGCGTGTGTGAGTGAGTGAGGGTGTGAGTGTGAGTGAGTGAGTGTGAGTGAGAGCGAGTGGTAGTGATTGTGAGTGAGTGCGAGTGAGTGAGTGTGAGCGAGTGTGAGTGAGCGTGTGAGTGTGAGCGAGTGAGTGAGTGTGAGCGTGTGAGTGTGAGCGAGTGAGTGAGTGAGTGTGAGTGAGTGTGAGTAAGCGAGTGAGTGAGTGTGTGAGTGAGTGTGAGTGAGTGTGATTGTTCGTAAGCGAGTGTGAGTGAGTGTGAGTGAGCGAGTGAGTGTGAGTGAGCGAGTGAGTGTGAGCGTGTGAGTGAGCGAGTGAGTGTGAGTGAGTGTGAGTGAGCGAGTGAGTGAGCGAGTGAGTGAGCGAGTGAGTGAGTGTGAGTGAGCGAGTGAGTGAGTGTGAGCGAGTGTGAGTGTGAGCGAGTGAGTGCGAGCGAGTGAGCGAGTGTGAGTGAGTGTGAGCGAATGAGTGAGCGAGTGAGTGAGCGAGTGAGTGAGCGAGTGAGTGAGTGTGAGTGAGCGAGTGTGAGCGAATGAGTGAGCGAGTGAGTGAGCGAGTGAGTGAGCGAGTGAGTGAGTGTGAGTGAGCGAGCGAGTGAGTGTGAGCGAGTGTGAGCGAGTGTGAGCGAGTGTGAGCGAGTGTGAGCGGGGTCCCACCTGCTAGGCACGGGCAGGATCCAGTACCTGCCCTGGTCCCCAAACACCTGCTCAACGTTCTTGCGCACTCCCAGGTTGAAGCCGTTCTTGTCGGGGCCATGCCTGAAGATGGGTGCCCGGAACGCCTCTTGGAACACACAGCGCGGGACGACACGGGGGTGAGCGGGCGGGTGAGCGGGCGGGCGGGCGGGCGAGCGAGCGGGTCAATTAGCGGGTGTGTAAATGAGCAGAGCAGGTGAGCGATTGATTGAGTGAGCAGGTGATCAAGTGAGCGAGTGAGTGAGTGAGCGAGCGAGCAGGTGATCGAGTGAGCGAGTGAGTGAGCAGGTAATGGAGTGATCGAGTGAGCGAACGAGTGAGTGACTGAGCAAGCGATTGATTGAGCGATTGAGCGAGCGAGTGAGCAGGTGATCGAGTGAGCGAGTGAGTGACTAAGCAAGCGATTCATTAAGCGAGTGAGCGAGTGAGTGACTAAGCAAGTGATTGATTGAGCGATCGAGTGAGCAGGTGATCGAGTGAGCGAGCGAGTGAGCGAGGAAGCGAGCGAGCGAGCGAGTGAGCGTGAGATCGAGTGATCGAGCGAGTGAGCGTGTGAGTGACTGAGCAAGCGAGCGGGTGAGCGAGCGGGTGAGCGGTGAGTACCCAGGGTGGAGCGGTTCTTGCACACGAGCCAGCAGTGGTACCCAAGGAGCGACACGACGCTCACCCCGAAGATGACGGCGGCGAAGAAGAGGAAGAGGACGTGGAACTTGGCCTGGTCGTCCGGCAGGGCGCCCTGTAGCACAGGCAAAGGTCCCCCCACCCCGTGAAGCCTCACACAGGATGCTGGGGCAAGGGCGCCGCTGTGGCCAGGAGATGTTAACTACCTCGCCTGGTCTACAGGAGGTCGTTGGTTCAATCCCGACCCTGACGCCTGCTGTATTTTTTGGAGTGTCCATCTCTCTCTCTGTGGTGAGATGTTAACTACCTCGCCTGGTCTACAGGAGGTCGTGGGTTCAATCCCGACCCTGACGCCTGCTGTATTTTTTGGAGTGTCCATCTCTCTCTCCGTGGTGAGATGTTAACTACCTCGCCTGGTCTACAGGAGGTCGTGGGTTCGATCCCGACCCTGACGATGCCTGCTGCTGTATATTTGGAGTTTGTGTGTCTCTCCCTCTCTGTGGTGAGATGTTAACTACCTCGCCTGGTCTACAGGAGGTCGTGGGTTCGATCCCGACCCTGACGATGCCTGCTGCTGTATATTTGGGAGTCTGCTTGTTTCTCTCTCTCGAACGCCCGCCGGCAGGAGGTCACGGGGCAGACCCAGAAGGTGCCACGGGTCGACTGACTGAGATGACTGCTGCCAGATGCACCGCCTGTGCCCCCTACTGTGCCAACTCTCTGTGCTTTAGCTGCCCGGCGCTCCGCTCGTTGTTGTGAGCGTCGCTCCTCCGCCCTCCGTTGTTGCTGGAGGGCGACTGCCTCCAACTGCCCAGTAGCGTCCTTCACGAGCCCCCTCCAACAGAGGTCGACCTTGACACCGCTGGTACCAGTCATCGGCAAGTCCACTCAGCTCCACGTCCTCCTGTACCACATCACTCCATCTCTTCTCTAGCCCGTGCCGCGCCCGTTTAGCCCCCTCGATCCGGCCGAACAAAAGCTGTTTAGGCATGCGGTGGCTGGGCATGCGGGCTACATGACCCAGCTCCACGTCCTCACACACACACACACACACGTGTGCGTGCGTGCGCGCGCGTACTCACCCGCGTACTCACCCGCCAGAACATGAGGAAGTACTGCAGCACGGTGGCGGACACGTAGACGCAGTAGAGGAGCGAGTAGGCCAGGAAGAGCACAAAGAACTTGTAGTTGGCAAACCCCACACAGTTGTTCACCCTAGAGGGGGCGGGGGGGTACAGCAAGTAGGTTGGTTCAGTGACATAACATCACCACCGCAGGCCAATGATGATACTGAAGATCATGGGCTCAAGGGTTTGGGTTTCTCTCACTCTCTCAGGGAGTGGCTGTGTTCAGGCAATGTGTGATAGAGGTGATGAGTGTACAGGTTGCGCTGCTGTTAGTACGGCACGAAGTTCAACGTTTCACTGCCCGAGCTGTAAGCTTCCACGGGGTTTTGTCTGTGTGTGTGAGTCTGTGTGTGTGTCTGTGTGTGTCTGTGTGTGTGTCTGCCTACGATCCATCATGGGTTTAACCAGGCTGGATTGTGTGAGGAGCTCACAAATCCTTGAAAGATCTGGTCAAAGTCCCATCGGTGAGCTCCTCCGGCAGGCAAGGCTGCGTTGGCTGGGTCATGTAGCCCGCATGCCCAGCCACCGCATGCCTAAACAGCTTTTGTTCGGCTGGATCGAGGGGGCTAAACGGGCGCGGCACGGGCTAGAGAAGAGATGGAGTGATGTGGTACAGGAGGATGTGGAGCTGAGTGGACTTGCCGATGACTGGTACCAGCGGTGTCAAGATTGACCTCTGTGGAGGAGGAGGCTCGTGAAGGACGCTACTGGTCAGTTGGAGGCAGTCGCCCTCCAACAACAACTGAGGGCGGAGGAGCGACGCTCACAACAACGAGCGGAGCGCCGGGTGGCTAAAGCACAGCAAGTTGGCACAGTAGGGGGCACAGGTGGTGCATCAGCCAGTCATCTCGGTCATCTCAGTCGTCTCAGTCAGTGGCGCCTGCAGGGTCTGCCCCGTGACCTGCCAGCGGGCGTTCGACACTTCACGTGGCCTCAAGGTGCACATAGCCTGGCACAAGCGTCATGGTGACGTCACCGCCATACTCTTTGGTTTTTCGCTAAAGTAACGTAGGCAAAAATAAATAAATGAAAAAACAATTAAATTGAAGACGGAAGCTTGTGTTGCCTCCGAAACGTCGTGATTTAATATAGGCATTTATTTATTTATTTAATTTTCTACCTACGTGACTTTACCGAAAAAACCAGAGAGTATGAATCCTTGCAGTCATGAAAACTTCAAATTTAGAACGTCACCGCCACTTAGTGGCGAATGGCGGTTGTTGCTGCGGTTGTTGCTGTGTCTGTGTGTGTCTGTGTGTGTGTCTGTGTGTGTGTGTCTGTGTGTGTGTGTCTGTGTGTGTGTCTGTGTGTGTGTCTGTGTGTGTGTCTGTGTGTGTGTCTGTGTGTGTCTGTGTGTCTGTCTGTGTGTCTGTGTGTGTGTCTGTGTGTGTGAGTGTGTGTGTGAGTGTGTGTGAGTGTGTGTGAGTGTGTGTGAGTGTGTGTGTGAGTGTGTGTGAGTGTGTGAGTGAGTGTGTGTATGAGTGTGTGTTGGTGTGTGTCTGTGCGTGTGTCTGTGCGTGTGTGTCTGTGTGTGTGTCTGTGCGTGTGTCTGTGCGTGTGTGTCTGTGTGTGTCTGTGCGTGTGTGTCTGTGTGTCTGTGTCTGTGTGTCTGTGTGTGTGTCTGTGTGTGTGTCTGTGCGTGTGTCTGTGCGTGTGTCTGTACGTGTGTCTGTGCGTGTGTCTGTGCGTGTGTCTGTCTGTGTGTGTGTGTCTGTGTGTCTGTGTGTGTGTCTGTGTTCGTGTCTGTGTTCGTGTCTGTGTTCGTGTCTGTGTGTGTGTCTGTGCGTGTGTCTGTGCGTGTGTCTGTACGTGTGTCTGTGTGTGTGTGTGTATGTGTGTCTGTGTGTGTCTGTGTGTGTGTGTCTGTGTGTGTGTGTTCGTGTACCATGGGCAGTGATGGTCCATCTTCAAGATACACCTGGAGGGAGACACAGACACAGGGAGTGAGACATTGAGGACAGGGGGGTGATGGGGGACAGGGGGAGGGGGTGATGGGACACAGGGGGGGGGGTGATGGGGGATGGGGGGTGAGGGGAGGGGCTACCCACGCTTCGCAAGTGGAGCAGTGGTGGCAGCGGTCCGGCTTGATGAGGTTGCACTTCTCACAGTAGCGGATAGCTGCAGAGAGAGGGGGGGGGGGGGGGGTGAGCAGCGTGGGTGAGGAGCGTGGGCCGGGCGTGGTGCTGGCCACCCACCCCCTCGTGTGCCGTGCCGGCCTTCACAGGTGCTGCTCGCTAACAGCACTTGCCCCAACACACACAAGCGTGCGTGCGTGTGTGTGTGCATCACCCCCTGCCAGCGTGCGTGTGTGCATGTGTGCGTGTGTGTGTGCATCACCCCCTGCCAGCGTGCCCGTGTGTGTGTGTGTGTGCATCACCCCCTGCCAGCGTGCCCGTGTGCGTGCGTGTGTGTGTGTGTGCGTGTGTGTGTGTGCATCACCCCCTGCCAGCGTGCCCGTGTGCGTGCGTGTGTGTGTGTGTGCCCGTGTGTGTGTGCGTGTGTGTGTGTGCATCACCCCCTGCCAGCGTGCCCGTGTGTGTGTGTGTGTGCCCGTGTGCGTGTGCGTGTGTGTGTGTGATTGCGTGTGTGCGTGTGTGTGTGTGTGCGCGTGTGTGTGTGTGCGTGTGTGTGTGCATCACCCCCTGCCAGCGTGCGTGTGTGCAGGGGTAGCGACGCGGCCGCTCGCTGGAGGATCTCCTGGCGCCCGTCCTCCCGGCCCTCCCTCTCCAGCAGCTCACGCTCCGTGTACGGTAACGAGAACTGGGGGGCACGGGGGGAGGGGCACGGGGGGGGGGCACAGGGGGGGGGGCACGAGGAGGGGGGGGGGGGCACGGGCGGGAGGAGGCAAAGGTAAAGATCTGCCCTCCGTGTAGCCCACACAAGCTGTTTGGGGCAAGTGCAGTGCTACCCTTCCAGCTTACATCTCTTATAACAACAAAAACAAAATCCGGCTTCGTGTGAATGACAGTACAGTCAGCCTGCAGTGCGAGTGGACTGGTGGCCACGGGAGGTAATGACAGGGGAGTCAGCCTGCAGTGCGAGTGGACTGGTGGCCACGGGAGGTAATGACAGGGGAGTCAGCCTGCAGTGCGAGTGGACTGGTGGCCACGGGAGGTAATGACAGGGGAGTCAGCCTGCAGTGCGAGTGGACTGGTGGCCACGGGAGGTAATGACAGGGGAGTCAGCCTGCAGTGCGAGTGGACTGGTGGCCACGGGAGGTAATGACAGGGGAGTCAGCCTGCAGTGCGAGTGGACTGGTGGCCACGGGAGGTAATGACAGGGGAGTCAGCCTGCAGTGCGAGTGGACTGGTGGCCACGGGAGGTAATGACAGGGGAGTCAGCCTGCAGTGCGAGTGGACTAGTGGCCACGGGAGGTAATGACAGGGGAGTCAGCCTGCAGTGCGAGTGGACTGGTGGCCACGGGAGGTAATGACAGGGGAGTCAGCCTGCAGTGCGAGTGGACTAGTGGCCACGGGAGGTAATGACAGGGGAGTCAGCCTGCAGTGCGAGTGGACTGGTGGCCACGGGAGGTAATGACAGGGGAGTCAGCCTGCAGTGCGAGTGGACTGGTGGCCACGGGAGGTAATGACAGGGGAGTCAGCCTGCAGTGCGAATGGACTAGTGGCCACGGGAGGTAATGACAGGGGAGTCAGCCTGCAGTGCGAGTGGACTAGTGGCCACGGGAGGTAATGACAGGGGAGTCAGCCTGCAGTGCGAGTAGACTAGTGGCCACGGGAGGTAGTGACAGGGGAGTCAGCCTGCAGTGCGAGTGGACTAGTGGCCACGGGAGGTAATGACAGGGGAGTCAGCCTGCAGTGCGAGTGGACTAGTGGCCACGGGAGGTAATGACAGGGGAGTCAGCCTGCAGTGCGAGTGGACTAGTGGCCACGGGAGGTAGTGACAGGGGAGTCAGCCTGCAGTGCGAGTGGACTAGTGACCATGGGAGGTAGTGACAGGGGAGTCAGCCTGCAGTGCGAGTGGACTGGTGGCCACGGGAGGTAGTGACAGGGGAGTCAGCCTGCAGTGCGAGTGGACTGTTGGCCACGGGAGGTAATGACAGGGGAGTCAGCCTGCGGTGCGAGTGGACTGGTGGCCACGGGAGGTAATGACAGGGGAGTCAGCCTGCAGTGCGAGTGGACTCGTGTCCACGGGAGGTAATGACAGGGGAGTCAGCCTGCAGTGCGATTGGACTAGTGGCCACGGGAGGTAGTGACAGGGGAGTCAGCCTGCAGTGTGAGTGGACGAGTGGCCACGGGAGGTAATGACAGGCGAGTCAGCCTGCAGTGTGAGTGGACTGGTGGCCACGGGAGGTAATGACAGGGGAGTCAGCCTGCAGTGCGAGTGGACTAGTGGCCACGGGAGGTAGTAACAGGGGAGTCAGCCTGCAGTGCGAGTGGACTAGTGACCACGGGAGGTAGTGACAGGGGAGTCAGCCTGCAGTGCGAGTGGACTGGTGGCCACGGGAGGTAGTGACAGGGGAGTCAGCCTGCAGTGCGAGTGGACTGTTGGCCACGGGAGGTAATGACAGGGGAGTCAGCCTGCGGTGCGAGTGGACTGGTGGCCACGGGAGGTAATGACAGGGGAGTCAGCCTGCAGTGCGAGTGGACTCGTGGCCACGGGAGGTAATGACAGGGGAGTCAGCCTGCAGTGCGATTGGACTAGTGGCCACGGGAGGTAGTGACAGGGGAGTCAGCCTGCAGTGTGAGTGGACGAGTGGCCACGGGAGGTAATGACAGGCGAGTCAGCCTGCAGTGTGAGTGGACTGGTGGCCACGGGAGGTAATGACAGGGGAGTCAGCCTGCAGTGCGAGTGGATTGAACTCTCCGATTTGGGGGGGGGGAGAGATCCGGATTTGTAAATTAACAATTAATGAGCCACCTGGCATGGCTCATTAACTATTAACGAGGCGCTAAATAGCATGGCGAGGTGGTGGCGGCGGCGACGATGGGACAGCTGTGCTCACGCCCGCCCGGCCACCTTGGTCTCCCCAGTGGCGATGTTTACACACTATTGCAGCAGGCACTCAGTTGAGGCCGAGTCGACCTAGCGGAGGCCCAGGACCGGTTGAAAAAAAATAATCGGCACCGTTATCGGTGGCCGGGTTCGTAGCGCGGAGCGCAAACCGCTGCACTGCCACTCCCCACACACAGACAAACACCAACAACAACAACCGCCATTCGCCACTAAGTGGCGGTGACGTCACCACGACGCTTGTGCCAGGCCATGTGGACTTTGAGGCCACGTGAAATGTCGAACGCCTGCTGGCAGGAGGTCACGGGGCAGACCCAGATGCCATGGGTCGACTGACTGAGATGACCGAGATGACCGAGATGACCGGCTGATGCACCACCTTTGCCCCCTACTGTGCCAACTTGCTGTGCTTTAGCCACCCGGCGCTCTGCTCGTTGTTGTGAGCGTCGCTCCTCCGCCCTCCGTTGTTGTTGGAGGGCGACTGCCTCCAACTGCCCAGTAGCATCCTTCACGAGCCTCCTCCACAGAGGTCGATCTTGACACCGCTGGTACCAGTCATCGGCAAGTCCACTCAGCTCCACGTCCTCCTGTACCACGTCACTCCATCTCTTCTCTAACCCGTGCCGCGCCCGTTAAGCCCCCTCGATCCGGCCGAACAAAAGCTGTTTAGGCATGCGGTGGCTGGGCATGCGGGCTACATGGCCCAGCCAACGCAGCCTTGCCTGCCGGAGGAGCTCACCGATGGGACTTTGCCCAGATCTTTCAAGGATTTGTGAGCACCTCACACAATCCAGCCACGTTTCGCAAGCGTAGAGAAGGGAGGGAATGACCGTGGCCGAGAAGACCTAAAGCTTCGTGCGGAGCGACAGAGCAGGTAGCTTCCACACAGCGTTACGCAACCGATGAAAAGATATTGCCGCTCGACTGATTCGGAGTGAGACCTCTGCTGTTAACTGGAGCCGGTCATAAGCACACTGCCCAGGTATGGGAAACTCTCCACTCTCACACACACTACACACACACTACACACACACTACACACACACTACACACACACTACACACACACTACACACACACTACACACACACTACACACACACTACACACACACTACACACACACTACACACACACTACACACACACTACACACACACTACACACACACTACACACACACTACACACACACTACACACACACTACGCACACACTACACACACACTACACACACACACTAGACGCCCGCAGCCCCCCCCCACGATCGCTCACCTCGGCTGGCGGCCCCTGTGGCTCTGTGAATATCGTCTTCCAGTAGGACCACACCAAGACAGCAAACAGCACGTGGAATATTAGCAGGTAGACCACTGTGAGAGAGAGGGAGACACACACAACAACAACAACCAGTGTCATCAACAATATTAGCAGGTAGACCACTGTGAGAGGGAGACACGTACACACAACAACAACAACAACAACCAATGTCATCAACAATATTAGCAGGTAGACCACTGTGAGAGGGAGGGAGACATATACACAACAACAACAACAACCAGTGTCGTCAACAACACAACAGCAACAACCAGCGTCATCAACAACAACAACAACCAGTGTCATCGGCAACAACAACAACAAGCAGCATCATCAACAACAACCAGCGTCATCAGCAACACAACAGCAACAACCAGCATCAACAACAACAACAAGCAGCATCATCATCAACAACAAGCAGCGTCATCAGCAACACAACAGCAACAACCAGCATCAACAACAACAACAAGCAGCGTCATCATCAACAACAAGCAGCGTCATCAGCAACACAACAACAACAACCAGCATCAACAACAAATACAACAACCAGCAAAGCTGGGTGGGTGGGAGGCTGGGTGGGTGTGTGGGTGGGTGGGAGGGTGTGTGGGTGTGTGGGTGGGTGGAGGGTGGGAGGGTGGGTGGGAGGGTGTGTGGGTGGGTGGGAGGGTGTGTGGGTGGTAGGGTGTGTAGGTGTGTGGGTGGGTGGGAGGGTGTGTGGGTGGGTGGGAGGGTGTGTGGGTTGGTGGGTGGTAGGGTGTGTGGGTGGTAGGGTGTGTGGGTGGGTGGTAGGGTGTGTGGGTGGGTGGGAGGGTGTGTGGGAGGGTGGGTGGTAGGGTAGGTGGGTTTGTGGGTGGGAGGGTGTGTGGGTGGGAGGGTGTGTGGGTGTGTGGGAGGGTGTGTGGGTGGGTGGTAGGGTAGGTGGGAGGGTAGGTGGGTTGGTGGGTGGGAGGGTGTGTGGGTGGGTGGGTGAGTGGGTGGGTGGGTGAGTGGGTGTGTGGGTGGGTGTGTGGGAGGGAGGGTGAGTGGGTGGGTGGGAGGGAGGGTGAGTGGGTGGGTTGGTGGGAGGGAGGGTGTGTGGGTTGGTGGGAGGGAGGGTGTGTAGGTGGGAGGGAGGGTGTGTAGGTGTGTGGGTGGCTGGGTGGGAGGCTGGGTGGGTGTGTGGGAGGGTGGGTGGGTGTGTGGGAGGGTGGGAGGGTGGGTGGGTAGGTGTGTGGGAGGGTGGGTGGGTAGGTGTGTGGGAGGGTGGGAGGGTGGGTAGGTGTGTGGGAGGGTGGGTGGGTAGGTGGGTGGGTGGGGTGGGAGGGTGTGTGGGTGGGTGTGTGGGAGGGTGGAAGGGTGTGTGGGTGGTAGGGTGTGTAGGTGTGTGGGTGGGTGGGAGGGTGTGTGGGTGGGAGGGTGTGTGGGTGGGTGGGAGGGTGTGTGGGTGGGTGGTAGTGTGTGTGGGTGGGTGTGTGGGTGGGTGGGTGTGTGGGAGGGTGGGTGGGTTGGTGTGTGGGAGGGTGTGTGGGTGGGTGGGAGGGTGGTAGGGTAGGTGGGAGGGTAGGTGGGTTGGTGGGTGGGAGGGTGTGTGGGAGGGTGTGTGGGAGGGTGTGTGGGTGGGTGGGAGGGTGGGTGGGTGTGTAGGAGGGTGTGTAGGTAGGTGTGTGGGAGGGTGTGTGGGTAGGTGTGTGGGTGGGTGTGTGGGTAGGTGTGTGGGAGGGTGGGTGGGTAGGTGTGTGGGAGGGTGGGTGGGTAGGTGTGTGGGAGGGTGGGTGGGTAGGTGTGTGTGGAGGGTGTGTAGGTAGGTGTGTGGGAGGGTGGGTGGGTAGGTGTGTGGGAGGGTGTGTAGGTAGGTGTGTGGGAGGGTGGGTGGGTAGGTAGGTGTGTGGGAGGGTGGGTGGGTGGGTAGGTGTGTGGGAGGGTGGGTGGGTGGGTAGGTGTGTGGGAGGGTGGGTGGGTGGGTAGGTGTGTGGGAGGGTGGGTGGGTGGGTAGGTGTGTGGGAGGGTGGGTGGGTGGGTAGGTGTGTGGGAGGGTGGGTGGGTGGGTAGGTGTGTGGGAGGGTGGGTGGGTGTGTGGGAGGGTGGGTGGGGTGGGTGGGTGTGTGGGAGGGTGGTGTGTGGGTGTGGGTGTGGGGGTGGGTGGGTGTGTGGGAGGGTGGGTGGGTGTGTGGGAGGGTGGTGGTGTGTGGGAGGGTGGGTGTGTGGGTGGGTGGTGTGTGGGAGGGTGGGTGGGCGGGTGTGTGGGAGGGTGGGTGGGTGGGTGTGTGGGAGGGTGGGTGGGTGGGTGGGTGTGGGAGGGTGGGTGGGGTGGGTGGGTGTGTGGGAGGGTGGGTGGGTGGGTGGTGTGTGGGAGGGTGGGTGGGTGGGTGGGTGTGTGGGAGGGTGGGTGGGTGGGTGGGTGTGTGGGAGGGTGGGTGGGTGGGTGTGTGGGAGGGTGGGTGGTGGGTGGGTGTGTGGGAGGGTGGGTGGGTGTGTGGGTGTGTGGGAGGGTGGGTGTGTGGGTGGGTGGGTGTGTGGGTGGGTGGGTGGGTGTGTGGGAGGGTGGGTGTGTGGGTGGGTGGGTGGGTGTGTGGGAGGGTGGGTGGGTGGGTGTGTGGGTGGTTGGGTGGGGAGGGAGGGGAGTGAGGCCCAGAGGCTGGACATGGTGGAATCGAACTTGTGACCTCGAGGTTGTGACTGAGTGTACAATGCAGGTTGTGTACAGCCATAGGCAGCGTGATGCAACTAAAATAACACTACTAAAATAATAATACTTTACAGAATAATAATCTTAAGAGACAACGTTCTACTGTCTGGTATTTCTATGCGTTTCAAATAAAAAAATAATCTAAATGTGTTATTTACCTTTTTCGCCGATGTTTTGCACAGTAACTGTGGGGGGAAACAGAACATTATGCAACGTTGGTTAGAGTCCAATGAACAAACGGGACATTCCACATTTCTATGCCAGGCGAAAGTACATCCCAGACTTCCTGTCCGGACCGTAGCAGCTTCGAGAAATTGAAGCTTTAAGTCACGCAAAGCATTCGGTAACATCACGTAAAGAGCTCAAGCACTTTTAAGTTCGGTCCAAACAACTTTGGAGTTAATTCACGTAAATGTTCACATTTTATAAGTGGCTTAAACACAGTTAAAAAAAACTAGACCAGGCCGCGATTTAGAAACCACAGAGCGGATAGGCGCCAAGCCCGCGCTGATTGGCTAAGAGCGAGCGCTCTACCAATCAGAGCGCGAGGTCGGCCCCTGTTGTGCCTATCAAGTCTACGAAATCAAATCCCCCATTCAACCCAATGCAATGCCTATCAGTGTATAATTGTGATGGGGAAGTGGATGGGGGTGATGGTGATGATGTTGGTGATGATGGTGATGATGTTGGTAGTGATGGTGATAATGTTGATGATGATGATGTTGGTAATGGTGATGTTGATGGGAGTGATGGTGATGATGTTGGTAATGGTGATGGTTGTGATGTTGATGGCAGTGATGATTCAGTAATGATGATGGTGTTGGTAATGGTGATGTTGATGGGGGTGATGGTAGTGATGTTGATGGGAGTGATGGTGATGATGTTGGTAATGGTTGTGATGTTGATGGGAGTGATGATTGGAAATGATGGTGATGATATTGGTAATGGTGATGGTTGTGATGTTGATGGGGGTGATCATTGGTAATGATGATGGTGTTGTTATTGGTAATGATAATGGTAGTGATGTTGATGGGTGTGGTGGTAGTGATGATTGGTAATGATGGTGATGATGATGGTAGTGATGGTGATGATGTTGGTAATGGTGATGGCTGTGATGTTGATGGGGGTGATGATTGGTAATGATGATGATATTGGTAATGTGATGTTGATGGGGGTGATGTTGATGGGGGTGATGGTAGTGATGATTGGTGATATTGGTAATGATGATGGTAGTGATGTTGATGGTGGTGATGTTGATGGGGGTGATGGTAGTGATGATTGGTAATGATGGTGATGATGTTGGTAATGGTGATGGTTGTGATGTTGATGGGAGTGATGATTGGTAATGATGGTGATGATGGTAGTGATGGTGATGTTGATGGGGGTGATGGTAGTGATGATTGGTAGTGATGGTGATGATGTTGGTAATGGTGATGGTTGTGATGTTGATAGTAGTGATGATTGGTAATGATGGTGATGATGGTAGTGATGGTGATAATGGTAATGACAATTGGTTATGATGTTGGTAATGATGATGTTAATGGTAATGGTGGTAGTGATGATGGTAATGATAGTGATGATGTGGATGGTCGTGTGGTGATGGTAGTAGTGATGCTGATTGGTAGTGATGATGGTAGTGATGATGATGGTAGTGATGGTGATGTTGATGATGGTAGCGATGATGTTAATAGTCGTGATAATGGCAATGGTGATTATGGTTGGTGTTGCTGATGATAATATTGCTGATGCTAGTGATGATTAAAGTTCTGATGGTAGTGGTCATGTTGATAATCTTACAGCTGCTCTGTGTGGTGTGTGTGCTGTGTGTGGTGTGTGTGTGTGTGGTGTGTGTGGTGTGTGTGTGATGGTGTGTCTGTGTGTGTGATGGTGTGTGTGTGATGGTGTGTGTGGTGTGTGTGTGTGGTGTGTGTGTGGTGTGTGTGTGTGGTGTGTGTGTGTGGTGTGTGTGTGTGGTGTGTGTGTGTAGTGTGTGTGGTGTGTCTGTGTGTGGGGTGGGTGGTGTGTGTGTGTGTGATGGTGTGTCTGTGTGGTGTGGTGTGTGTGTGGTGTGTGTCTGTATGTGTCGTGTGTGGTGTGTGTCTGTATGTGTCGTGTGTGGTGTGTGTCTGTATGTGTGTGTGGTGTGTGTGTAGTAAAACTCACAGATGCAGAGCTCAACGACGTAGGCGAAGTATGACCAGCAGACGACGAGGACGATGAAGACGACCGGCACCCAATTCACCACCCGCACACAGCACCGCAGGGCCGGGTAGGGCGCCATCACCACAACCAACCACAACCACCACAACCACCGTCAGCCTACGTGAGATCTTCGTCTGAGCTTCGTCGAAATAACACAACAATAATAACAACAACAACCCCGTTCAATCTCTTGGCCCGTGTGTGTGGCGGGGTTTGTCTCTGCGGAAACGGGAGAAGGCGGGCCGAGTGAGTTTGGTTGTAGGAAGTTGTTGATGGTTGTGTTGGGTGGGTGGGTGGTGGTGTTGTGTTGGGTGGTGGTGGTGTTTGTTAGTGCGCGTTTGCTCGTGGCATTACGGTATTGTGCCAGTGAATGGGTGGGGTGAAGGGAGTGACGCTTTACCGTAAGTATCCGAATAAAAGCGCACTTACAGGACGTTTGTGATGGGCTTTGACCGGATTAGTGCGTTAAAGTCGTGGTGGGTGGTGGTGATTTTGAGTGCGCGTTTGCTATGAACATTGCGGTACTGTGTTAGTGAATGGGTTGATGGTGGAGGGAGTGACGCTTTACCGTGAGTATCTGAATAAAAGCGCACTTAGAGGGCGTTTGTGATGGGCTTTGACCGGGATTAGTGCATTAAAGTCGTGGTGGGTGGTGGTGGTAATTTTTAGTGCGCGTTTGCTCGGGGCATTACGGTATTGTGTTAGTGAATGGGTGGGGAGTGGCGTTTTACCGCAAGTAACCAAATAAAAGCGCACTTACAGGGCGTTTGCGATTGGCTTTGACCGGATTAGTGCATTAAAGTCGGTGTGGAGATGGTGATTTTTAGTGCGCGTTTGCTAGGAACATTGCGGTATTGTGTTAGTGAATGGGTCGGGGTGGAGGGAGTGGCGCTTTACCGCAAGTAGCCGAATAAATGGGCACTTTTAGGGCGTTTGCAATGGGCTTTGACCGGGATTAGTGCGTTAAAGTCGTGGTGGGTGGTGGTGATTTTGAGTGCGCGTTTGCTATGAAATTCGCGATATTGCGCGGGGATGAATGGATGGGGTGGGGAGTGACGCGTTACCGTAAATAGACGAAAGAAAGCGCACTCGTGGAAGTTTGCGATGGGCTTTGACCGGATTAGTGCGTTAAAGTCACGGTAATGTGGTGGTGATTTTGAGGGCGCGTTTGCTCGGGGCATTGCGGTATTGTGCGGGTGAATGGGTGGAGGGAGTGGCGCTTTACCGTAAGTCGCCGAAAGAAATTCGAGATTTGAAGCTTTCGTGACTGCAAGGACTCATACCCGTAGGTTTTTTCGGTAAAGTCGCGTAGGTACAAAAAATAAATAATAAAAATAATAGAAATAATAATATGAGTAAAATGATAAAAAATAAATAATATAATTAATAGGAAAATTAAATAAATAATATGCATATTTTACTAATATTTTATTTCTATTATTTTTATTTTTCATTTTTTACCTACGTGACTTTGCCGAAGGAAAGCGCCCTCGGAGGACGTTTGCGATTGGCTTCGACCGGATTAGTGCGTTAAAGTTTGAGTTGATGGCACTCACATGTTCATAGACTCACACAGAGAGCCATGACTCACACAGAGACCCGTAGACTCACACAGAGACCCATAGACTCGCACAGAGACCCATGGACTCACACAGAGACCCATAGACTCACATAGAGACACATAGACTCACACAGAGACCCATAGACTCACACAGAGACCCATAGACTCACATAGAGACACATAGACTCACACAGAGACCCATAGACTCACACAGAGACCCATAGACTCACATAGAGACACATAGACTCACACAGAGACCCATAGACTCACACAGAGACCCATAGACTCACACAGAGACCCATAGACTCGCACAGAGACCCATAGACTCGCACAGAGACCCATAGACTCACACAGAGACCCACAGACTCGCATAGAGATCCATAGACTCACACAGAGACCCAAAGACTCACACAGAGACCCATATACTCACACAGAGACCCATATACTCACACAGAGACCCAAAGACTCACACAGAGACCCACAGACTCACACAGAGACCCACAGACTCACACAGAGACCCGTAGACTCACACAGAGAGCCATAGACTCACACAGAGACCCATAGACTCACACAGAGACACATAGACTCACACAGAGACCCATAGACTCACACAGAGACCCATAGACTCACACAGAGACCCATAGACTCACACAGAGACCCATAAACTCACACAGAGACCCACAGACTCACACACAGACCCATAGACTCACACAGAGACCCATAAACTCACACAGAGACCCACAGACTCACACAGAGACCCACAGACTCACACAGAGACCCGTAGACTCACACAGAGAGCCATAGACTCACACAGAGACCCATAGACTCACACAGAGACACATAGACTCACACAGAGACCCATAGACTCACACAGAGACCCATAGACTCACACAGAGACCCATAGACTCACACAGAGACCCATAAACTCACACAGAGACCCACAGACTCACATTGAGACCTAGAGACTCACACAGAGACCCATAGACTCACACAGAGACCCACATACTCACACACAGACCCATAGACTCACACAGAGACCCACAGACTCACACACAGACCCATAGACTCACACAGAGACCCATAGACTCACATTGAGACCTAGAGACTCACACAGAGACCCATAGACTCACACAGAGACACATAGACTCACACAGAGACCCATAGACTCGCATAGAAACCCACAGACTCACTTCGACTAAGCTGTGAGCTGTCATTTGTGACAGAAAAAATATATTTAAAAAATATTCAGTGTTAAAAAAAATGTAATCTTGATTTTAAAATAGTTTTAGCTCCTCAACATTGGCACTGAGCCTCCTGGGACCACATCTGCCGTGGAGCTTTCATTCATTCATTCGTTCGTAAATTCGTTCGGTCTTTCCTGCAGTCGTTCGCGTGGCCACGGCGAGGCAGCAGAGGGCCGCGCCTGGCCTCAGCCCAACGCTCGTATCAGAAGGGGGCAGGAGGAACCCGCCATGCAAACGCCAGGACGCAGTATGCTAATGTCATACATTATGCTAAATGTGATACATTATGTAAATGTGATACGCTATGTTAATGTGATGTATTATGTTAATGTGATGTATTATGTTAATGTGATGCATTATGTTAATGTGATGCATTATGTTAATGTGATGCATTATGTCAATGTGAAACATTATGGCAATGCCATGCATTATGTAAATGTGATGTAATATGTTTATGTAGTACATTATGCTAAATGTGATGCAATATGCTAATACATGTAAAGCAATTATGGAACATTATGCTAATGTTATACATTGTGCGAATGTGGTACATTATGTTACATTTAATACATTCTGTTAATGTGATACATTATGTAAATGTAATACATTATTCTAATGAGGTTTGACAATGTTATACATTATGCTAATGTATCATAGTGAATTGTGCTAATCTGGTAATGAAAAGTACAGTATTTTGTTGTCACAGATTATGCAAATTCCAGTGGACATTTTGCACATTTATCATCGTAAATTATGTTAATTCGTCATCGTAAATTACGTTAATTTATAATCGTGATTATGCTAACTTGTCACCGTCAATTATGTTAATTGACGAATCGCGGCCCACGTGCTCGTCTAATTAACATAATTTATATTTAACGTGTTGGGGAGGGGGTCTCCTTACTCCACTTGACCCCCTCTGTCGAATTAACATAATTTAATTCTAGATTTGAAGCTTTCGTGACTGCAAGGATTCAAATTCTTAGGTTTTTTTGGTAAAGTCACGTAGGTAAAAAAATGTAAAATTAATAAAAGTAAAATAAAAATTAAATAAAAATCACGAAATAAAAATCGTCATTTTTATTTAACTTTTATTAATTTAAATTTTTTACCGACGTGACTTTACCGACAAAACCTAAGAATATAACATCATTTATATGTCACATGTGGGGGGCGATCTCCTGACTGACTCCACGTGACCCCCCTGCCCTCAAGGCTGCGATGACCTCTCTCCCACATTTCCCTGTCCCTTGGGGGCCGGCCATAAATGACGTCACGCGATTCTGAACGATTTTTGACCCCCCCCCCTCGTGACACGGCGTCACAAAAAGTCAGACCCCCCCCTCAAATATGACGTCACAAAGCTCTGCCCCCCGCCCCCCCCCAAAAAAAAACATTTCCATTTTGAAAATAAAACATGCTTCAAATCGCTTTATACTATTGTCATTGTAGTGCGTATTTAATGTGGCGCTGCACTCTGATGTTGTAGGAGAAAACATTTATTACAAAGTCGATTTAATTAAGTAGAACGTGTTGTCTATATTCATTTAAAGTTGCGCATTTTAACGTGACGTCTGGACGGCCCCTAAGTTGTTGAGGGTTTTTTCTGAGTGTTTTGCCCCTTAAATGACGTCACGCACCTAGGGGGGGGGGGTGAGACATTTGTGACGATGTGTGACGAGGGGGGGAGGGGGGGGTGAGAAATGTGACGTCACATCAAAATGCGCAACTTTAAATGAATACAGACAACACGTTCTACTTAATTAAATAGACTTTCTAATAAATGTTTTCTCCTACAACATCAGAGTGCAGCGCCACATTGAATACGCACTACAATGACAATAGTTTAAAGCGATTTGAAGCATGTTTTTTTTTCAAAAATGAAAATATGGTTTTGGGGGGGGGGGCAGAGCTTTGTGACGTCATTTGAGGGGGGGGTCGGACTTTTTGTGACGCCGTGTGACGAAGGGGGGGGGGGGTCAAAAATCGTCCAAAATCGCGTGACGTCATTTATGGACGGCCCTCTTGAAAAAATACATTTTTATTTTTCTTGAATTTTGTTTTCCTTTTGAAATAATTGCCGCGTGTTTTATTTTCAAAAATGGAAATATGTCTTTGGGGGGGGGGGGCAGAGCTTTGTGACGTCATATTTGAGGGGGGGGGTCGTCGCGTGACGTCATTTCATGCATCAATCCACACCAGCGACAGCTTTCTTTAGAGCAGCGGTCGGGAACCTATGGCTCTTCTGGTGACGGCATATGGCTCCCAGACAATTTTGAGTTGAAAAAAAAATACAAAAATCAGTTTGGAACTGATTTTAAAATACTTGTGATATTGCTTAATAATACTGTGTTATTTTAAAGTAAACAGAAATTAGTTTTGAAGATACATTTCACGGGTCACGCCTGCACGAAGCTCAACCTCACCACGTACGAACCAGACTACAAGGCCATCAGCAAAACCATGCAGCACCAGAAGTCGCATTAAAAGTGATACATATTTAATTTACTATACGTTAAA